TGTCATGAATTGTGAGCATCACTGACTAGTTTGTTGAATACATTGGTATCTGCTTAATGTAATTAAATACTTTACAAGCTATCTACAAATTGAAATCATACATCAATATTTAACAATTCAGCATCAAATGTTCACCACAAAACATCACACAAAGCCCATACAGAGTTTACACGCTACACATAAAAGCGTTTTACCTGAATCAATTATCAGAATGTTTACTTTGAAATAAAATGTATACCGCTCGATAAGAACCTTTCCAATAATAGATGGTATAAAAGCAGACCTTTTCTGATCGATGATACTCCACCTACACACAGCTTTATTGAATACATATATTAATAATAGATAATTGTATCACATTCACGAATACAGGCCAGAGTTACAGTAGGGGCATGGTTACTGAAGCATGTAGGAAAAACGATATCAATATTTTCAATAATATATTACAGACGTGACCTATTATTGTCACATACAGATAATCTCCCCTAGCTACAGATATAGTTAATAAGAAGGGTGCAATAAGAAATTGACATATATCAGCGAGAAAAAGAACAGTGTTTAACACAAAAGAGCATGAATGTCCCCAGGTTGAGAAATATTTATTACATTTGATATATTCTAATGACGCCAGTCGTCATCGAAACAAATTTGATAAGCACATATTTTCCATATTGTGCAACGTCTCTATTTAATAAATAATCGATATGTTATGTAAATATCTGAAGAGAATATGAAAGTCACTAACTATGGATTCTGAAGTCTCTAAACATCGCACTCACACATAAATAAATGTCGTGGTTCTACATATATGTATTGGTATTGATACTAGCATATGCATCCATGGAGAATATGGTCTAGAATGATTTGGATCTGAGAGCTTTCATTTCGCTGAAGAATACGGACCACGTTTAGCGTTTTGTTGTATGTACATGGATAGAGACTGTCACCCGATTGTGTTTTGATATCAGAAAAATCAAAACGAGTCAATAAACGTTTTACTTTTGTATCCATGATCATTCTTCCAACGTAGTTTAGTTCATAAACAGCAATAACCAATTTATTGAATGTACAAAGTAAAGCTAACCAGCTTCAGTGGCAGTGAGATCAGTGATGGCATGTAACTGTGGCGTCGTGAAAATCAAATGACGTCACAATGGTTTGCAAAACATTATGATGCAATTCATTGCGGCGATATCTCCTTGGAGATATTCTTGGTCTTATCCAACTGATATCTCGTGTGGAAGCCAGTTTTGGATGATAAATGTCATTGTCATAACCATATATTTGAGCTCACTGTTGGCTAATTCACTAAAATCTCACTTTATGAATTACGAGCATGTTCGTGTGAATAGATTGTACCACGTATCATACGTAAGTATCACCACCTTCACATTTCGTATTCTTCCAGATTCATGACTGAAGCGACAAGGCTGCCATGTGATGGAAAGCAGGGACATTCCACATAGATATATATACTGGATAATCCTTTCGAAGCAGCATGTCTTAACATGTTAATGATGCCAGCTTGCTGAACAGGTTGCCTTCAGGTCAGTGGTAAAACCGAGCTGTTTGCACCACACTAACATCAATGCATAGAGAGGAAATATGTTTCAATGTCCAGAAGATATATTATTATTATTATCCTATACTTCAAATTCTGACCGTTGAGAACGAATTATGCTATTGCATCTTGAACGCAATATACTAAGTACAGTTCGAAACATTAAGGTTCCATAATGGTGTAGCGTTTCCTGGTCATACATAAGCTAACTTCAACGAAAACAACAACAGTCATAATTGGGTTGAATTGGCCCATTGTTTCACTGTCTGATTTGAAGAAAAACGAATAATTCTTAGTCATCACTCCTGTTATTACCATTCCAAAGCGAACACCATCCAAACCAACCAAGGTGATAGTAAACATCAACGCCAGAGAATAATCAGTCTTTTCTGTCGAAACAGAATCCACAGGGCGCAAAAGGCAGCACAGTTGTGAAAAGTATATGAATGGATCAATGAAAATCAGTGATGACACCAGGTGTTGGCGAAAATGCTAAGCAAATCCCATCATGACATAATGCCCCAGACCATGTCTTCAATGACATATGTGGTCAGAAATTTACAAAATATATGCATACACAGATTAATCAAATGAAGCCTACGCAGTATATTGCCATGAACACAACTGAAATACAGTCAGTTCTATTATTCTGATGAGGTGAAATGGACAAACGTAGACATTCATAAATTCAAATGAATTCTCACGGGTTGATAGTTCTGTCCTGAACGATAGCAAACTTATCGACTTACGTGGTACAAATCCCTTTGTAGAGTCGTCAGAGTGTTAATAATGCTTTGGGGTCTCAGTTATGGCTCGAAGACTAATCCCCGTAAGAAAGTATTGTGATTTTACAAAGGCATTGAAAGATTTATGAAACGCACATCACACTTGTGAGGAACAGTTTATCCTACGCAATGTAACGTATCAGAAGACAAAGTAAATCGCCTGAATTAAGGTTGTGATAATACAATGACGTTGAAAACACAGAGCGAAAAAAAATGACTTATACCACCTTGAATTGCTACCAAATATGAAAGGTGTTAATAAATTATTCATTTCGACTGTACTGGAACTAGAACGATGTTTAATAATAAATTATTCATTTCTACTGTACTGAAACTAGAACCGATGTTTTCTATTGAAACAGGTCCTTCCAGGCAACTTGGCATCATCCTACACTAGTTCACGCTTTGTTGTTTCACCAAACATGGTATGACAATGATCCGATCAATGCCCAATGATGTTTCAGTGATAATGGAGGAACACGTTCGTTCACACATCCTCCCCCGCATTGCCAATCGACATGAGAGCGTTTTCCATTCACATGCTGAATTGTGTGTCAGCACTGTATAACAGGCGTTTAAAGAACTACTTACTTAAATCTTCTGGTTCATGTACATAATCCTTTTCCTGTCGCCATGAATGAGTATAACATAGATAGGAGTATGAATGACCCTCAGGCATTACTGTTACTAATCACAAGTGTATCACTGCCAGGGCGTAAGTGAACCTAGTGCTACCGGTCGACATTACTTGAACGTTCAGCTCAGGGTTGAAATACTTTCACAACAATTACAGTGTTTAAATATCTATAAACCATTCTGTACAACCATAACACGTACATCTTAAACCGACAATATTCACATTAAAAGCAATTTAACAGAATCAGAACGGTGTTAACATTTAATCTGAAATGTGGACAAATCCTACCGCCAAAATGAATGGAAATAATAGCAAAATACCTAAAATCCTAAACCAATCACCATGTTCATGGACGGGATATGAATATATCTTTACTTGTGTTTTAACTGAAGACAGTTTGACAGAATATATCTTTCAATTATTGTGTAATTCTATTCAAATCGCCCGAGGGACACTGTGGACGATCGAAATAAGACGCACTGTTATGGTATACCGCCATATACACACGTGATTGTTGCACAGAAATCAATTATTAAGTTGTATGTCGACGGTAATAATGACGTCTTAAATAATCTAAGGATCGAATTCTTTAAATAGGATATGCGGAAACAGCCATCCTATTGTCTCCCAAATGGCCTTATTTTCTGCCGTATGTTTCCTGCTGGTAATAGTCAAACCCATTAACATTGCTCTACCCTATGAACCATATACTCAATGATAGAACACTGTTTGGGGAAAGGTCTTGCAGTGCATTGTCAAAAATAGTACAAAACAATAGGTTTGAACTAATGAAGGCACGCTAGAAATTTCTACAGAAGCACATGTGGCAAGAACGGCTGGGTGTCCCTTTTAGGCATGTGCACGAGTCTCAAACAAGGGCAATCGATAAAGCTTGCTCTATGTTGAGATGTTTCGATCAATGGTGGGTAGGCTTTAAATGATATGGTTGATGTGAATAAAACATTACAATCCGTCAAAGGTAGAGAACCAAATTACCTGAAGAATCGACAACCGTCAGGTCTCATAAATTGCCCAACACTGAACCGTGAAGAATAGAAGGTGGTGATTGTTCTTTTAGGTTCCAAGAGAAGGCGCAATTTCAGATAAATGGCAAACTATTACGTTGGAATATGTTGTTAAAAGTGCTACGTTGTGTTCCTAGTGAAAGCACTGCGTTAAGGCAGACTTTACCAAGACGAATATCAATGGAAGAAAAACAAAGACTACGTTTCAAGAGCGTGCTTAATACCTATTACGCCAGGGGACGTTGTAGTACTCTTATGGTATTGGAAAGATGACAAAGTCTGAAAGGCTAGCTCGATCTGCAGCTAATGTAATCTGTTAAAATAAATTGCCTCATAGGAAGCTGACATATCATGGCCTGATAGACATTTCATCTGTTTTCCAGACAAATTGTTAACTTAGTATTGGATGTGCTCCTCAGTCAAAAAGAAAAGCCTTGTGATGCTTATCAGAGCTTAAGGTGTTTGTGATCAATAGGCTGCCAATACCTAAAGCTTCTTAGGCATGCTGTACTCCTTCAAGCTTACCCACTGTCTTACTGTTGGGAAATTATATGGGTATGGGGACGAATGGGGATTCGTGTTGCAGAAACTAACACATTAAGTCATGTTTTACTCGATGCTTATTGATCCAACAAATAACACTGAGGCGGGCATTAGGGTCACGGTCTCTTCCCGTGAAGTGAGACAGCTTACAATATCCATTAACTTTCTCCTGGATGGAATTACGATCAAATATTGAATCAGATATTTCCCGCGCTTTGTGTCGCTAATCATATTTACGAAGGTTATATTTAGGAACAAGGCGCCATTCACAAAACATATTCTTTGATCAGTGAAACAGTCATCAAATTGACATAGCGCGAGTAATTGCTCTTGCAGATAAAACAAAAAAACAAGCGATGTGATCACAAAAATGTTATGAATGAGTTGCAATATGAAAAATGAAATTATGAAAAATAAGTATAGAAAATATTTCAAAGTATGTCACTCACCCATGAAAACGTCAGTATCTGCATAGTTTCCACATGAGCGCACTCGCTCTTTGAAGCGTTTGGCTAGAAAGGCCTGCAACATAAAAAGATAGAGCGATCATAGGCTTAGTCCTTAGATGCAGGTAGTTAGGCGTGAGACAAGCATCTGTGAAGGTGTCCACTATCTTGCCACAGTGTCGCAGTCAGATGCTATAGCCCCGGCAGGACACTCTGTTCCAAAGGCTGGTCGCCGCACGTAAGCTAAGCTAGAATACACGTACATCGCTTTATGCGAGAGTGATGGTGTGGGTGGTGAAACAACGTCGACTTGGCACAGATCGCACTCACTCGCTAGTTCTACACAGATCAGAGGGAGGGGTTCCCTGGGGCGAGTAAGGTATAGGCCATAAAGCTCACTTTTAGACGAATGTAACGGTATGGGTTGAGGGTGTTATTAAAATAGAAAGGATTCATCACTCTCACCAACCTGCTTTTCAAATAAAAGTCCATGAACTCAGCCAGGTATGAATAGAACCAAAATGAGCGCCAATCACAGAGACTAGAGCTGTTTTCTCGGCTATACTAAGAATTTCACATAGTTTAAGAATAGCGCACCCATTGGTAAGCATTGGGCATAACAAGCGTGCAATTTCATAACAGTTCATCATCGGAAAGGGGAAAATGCGGGTGAGTCCTAATGGATGCTTATCGCTGAATAATCTAAGGACGCGTTATTTTCCTTGTGAATCAGGTATGAGCATTAAATCAATATTCTTAGCGTAATAAGCAGTAGAAGACAAATTACTCATCCTAACGATCCCTACCAGTTGATGACTGGTAACTGGCTGAGCAGCGTGGAGAAAGGAAGGAAGTACAAAGGGTTTAGAGAGAAAGGGTTTCACTTGCCTGATAATCTCAGCACTTTATACACCTGCTATCGCCTCCTGAATTCAAGTTACCAATTTTTGGTAGATCTCTATACATTTTGCGCCTGGCCTCTACAAGTGCACTGCAGTGGACTGACCACCCATATATGCCGATAAATTGTGTTCCGATGCGAAGGTGTTGGTTGTAGGGTTATCCTAGTAACGGTTTGACAACACAAATGATTTGGAACTGCGTAAGATGTATCACGAAGTTATAATACGACGTCACAGGTCCACCGGTAACCACCCCCACCTCGCTAAAGAGCCGTTCGTCCTACTTGTCAATCACATATCACATTGATTGTAATATAGACCGTATTTATTAAGGGCGGGCTCAATAGTGTTTTCGCCCTTAGGTTCCTATTAACAGAGCGTGTTGCGGGCCGCCTTTACCCTGGCTCCCTCGTCAATAACAGAATTATATGTTAGTTATGCGCGCCGTATTGTGGGACAGACTCAAACGACGAGCTCCTATATCATTTATTATTGATGGATTTGCTGTGGATTAATTGATTCTGTTGGTGATAGCATTAAACAGAAACAACGTTAACAGATTAATTCTGTCAAGAGTGTTCCATAATGGCGCCTTGGAAAGAACAATACCTTTGCACGAGATTTCTACACGGGAGTGTTCATTTTCTGATGACAGTGTTAACATTACCCGTTGACCCTAGGTGCTATTTATTCTAAAGTCGTTTTACCTGATTTGCCAAAACTGATTCGCTTTGGCCTGCTGGTCAGTGACAAGTAGAAACCCTGTCAAGGGAATGTCTGCACGAACAGGTGTCATTTCCTTAAACATTTAGAACTGATGACCATAAAAAGTGATATATAGAATAATCGAAAATGACATATTTTACATAGTCATGTTAAACAGTTTAGTTAATAAATTGTGTAACTACATGAACGTAGCCTCTTTATCAAATATCAAATAAAATAATTCATTATTTTAAAAGACCGTTCATATGTATTGTATTGCTTGTAATATACTGAAGACAGTAATAACCAATATCAAACTTTTATTGGAGTAAAGATACATGTTTACATTATTTCATCACCATTAGGATTTTATTTATTTCTATCCCATCATTGTCCCGAAGACAATGTCAGTTAAAAATCTTTATATGGGTTTATGTTCCATTTTGAGTGTATTGAATCCAGTTCGATTTTCCGCAGCTTCACTACTCCGATAACAATGACAACAAGAAAGATGTTTCCTGAAATAGTGATTCGCGATGTGTACAGGGAAACAGGACTCGACAACAGTGCGTAATAGAGGGGGCGGGGCGGGACGCAGAGATCGAAGGCGGGAACCGAGAATTGTATTTCATAAATAACTATTTGACTTAAAATGCCCATATTTGGTTAGTAATACACCTACAATGAAAGTGGGAATTGTTCCAGTTTGGTGACAACGATTAGACGAGCTGGGATAACATATAGGCATATATATATGGATGCGTGAATTTGGTCACAGCACACCGTTTTTGATTTGATCAATGTGGGAGAGACGACCAAAATGATACTGTTCGCAGACGCTACCGTCTTTGTGCAGCCACGGTCGGCCCTTGTTCTGAGGCACTAATGTGCATATTGTCCACCCTCTGTTGTGCCTGATTCCGATTATCGTTGGTTCGAATCCAAGACTGTTGCTGGTTATGATCCTTGGTTTGTCAGCACTATACCCGTACTGATGTTTTGTTTGTTTGACACAGTCAGCACTATGCCCGTACTGGTGTTTTGTTTGTTTGACACAGTCAGCACTATACCCGTACTGATGTTTTGTTTGTTTGACACAGTCAGCACTATACCCATACTGTTTTTTTTAGTTTGTTTGACACAGTCAGCACTATGCCCGTACTGATGTTTTGTTTGTTTGACAGTCAGCACTATGCCCGTACTGATGTTTTGTTTGTTTGACACAGTCAGCACTATACCCGTACAGATGTTTTGATTGTTTGACACAGTCAGCACTATACCCGTACTGATGTTTTGTTTGTTTGACACAGTCACCACTATGCCCGTACTGGTGTTTTGTTTGTTTGACAGTCAGCACTATACCCGTACTGATGTTTTGTTTGTTTGACACAGTCACCACTATGCCCGTACTGGTGTTTTGTTTGTTTGACACAGTCAGCACTATGCCCGTACTGGTGTTTTGTTTGTTTGACACAGTCAGCACTATACCCGTACTGATGTTTTGATTGTTTGACACAGTCAGCACTATGCCCGTACTGATGTTTTGTTTGTTTGACACAGTCAGCACTATTCGAGCTTATCACCCAGGCTTGTAGATAATCTGATCTGGACTTTACAAACCAGTGATGGATATGTGCAACGGGGTGCGATGACATGCAAACCCGAACCAAAATAACTACTCGACCCATTTACGCCTCTTGCAACAAGTATCTACTCCGGCCCGGCATCATCAAAGTGAAAAACGTCACTTTAGACTTTCCTCCCACATGAAGCTGACACGTGGATATACGTGAGAGACTGTTCAAAGCAGCATTGAACCCAAAAGATCAACAATATTTGTTTCTCTTATGAGATATGTTCATAAACTGATTCATGTTCACGCAGATGGGAACTCATCATTCCATACATGTGCTAATGCAGAGTCGCATGTGCATCATATGTAAGACCTACGCACACATTACCATTCCTGGACCAGAATGGATCCTTAGTAATCGGTGTTTTCGTTAAGACTCGACTTAAAGCGGGTCTCAGTAGTTACTCAGTAGGAGTGACCATTCATTGAATTCATCTGTGACCCGACTCTATGCGAAACATTTTACCTGTCATGGATAGTCACGATAATAATAATGATAATGATAATGATACAGCCTAAGACGTATACAGCCTAAGACGTATCCAGGCCAATAAACCTCATCTTGTCCTTTTGGATAAATCCAATGAAACCATTTATATTGTTGAATCTTCTACCCTTTTTGACACTGATGTGATGGCAAAATTCAAGAAGAACATGGCAAATAGGCAGACCTCGCTTTCGAAATGTCACGCTTGCATCACAAGTACCAAGTTGCCCGACTCCCCGTTGTTCTCGGTGCCTTAGGTTTGGTACCTCCCAATCTGTTGACTGACATTGGGAGAGTACCCGGTTTTCTACCAGGAATACAGCCCTTCTGACAATCTGGGTAATGCAGAAGGCAATGGAGTCTTCTCATTCTCTGAAAAGTTCTGGATGGGTTTGACTGGGCAGCGCTTCCTGGGAGAAGTCCCATTCGCTATTTGGGCTGCGTGTAGAGGGGGCAAGGGCCCTGAGCTGATGATGAGCCTAACCAGCCTCATTGTGCCAGGATCACCCAAACCCTCTGTGCTGCATTTTCTATTTAAATCTGTAAATAATAATAATAATAATAATAATAATAATAATAATAATAATAATGTGTGTACTTATATTGCGCTAAACTCCATACAAAAAGTGTATGCTGAAAGCGCTAACATTTTTACCTGGTTCAATGGATCAGTGTGCTCTCGATCTTTTCAATCTCATCTCCCTGGGGAGTATACAACGCAAGCTTCCTATGAATCGTTAGAAGGTTAACAGCGATCACGTTCAGGCGGCAATGGCATAACTGTCATGTTGTTAGCAAGCATCTAACGAGTTTATATTTGTAGTGACTATTAAAATGTTATCACTAGGTATTCTTATAATAAACGCCGAAACAATGTCGATGCGACGTTAAATTTTAACTCACTCACTAATAATAAACGACAGTGCTAGTGAAACCCCTCTGGTTGATCTTGCAGTTTAGTGTTATGACAACATGTTGTCCTCACTGACCAGAACTATCATGAGATTTATTCAGGAAACTTTGTCTGAAACTGCCACATCGGTTCTAACGGTCATGTCACAAACGTCTAGGTGTTTAATTCTCTCAAGATGAGATGACGTCCCTTCGCTTCAGAAGAGGTTTCTTATAGATATTACCGGCTTGTCCTACAAACAGTAATGGACTATATATATATATATATATATATATATAGAAGGTCAGTCGCGTGTCCAGCCAAGCTATTGTTTAAAGTCTTTAAATCCTACACCCACCTCTTCTCAAATGCTTACATTCGGCTCACAGGCACATATCGTATTATAGCCAAATCGCATATATCTGAGTGCTCATTACGCTCTTCAATCTCGCCCTAGCTGCTTCACCGCCCATATTACGGAGCGCACGACCCATGCTCCCCGGTCTGACCCGTCGCCGGGCTCGCCGTTAACGGCTATTGTGTATGCAGGAAGCCCCGACAGTCAAACCATGGGGGATAGCAGAACAATTTACAACCCTTCCCCGACAGTCCAATGACCTTTGATTCAAAGTGAACCAAAGGTGCTAACGAAACTCGGGCCCTTGGCATTAACCTCTCTCAATGATTTTACCTTCAAATTTCTAACAGAGAAAATGCATTGCCCATAGAGAGTGGCATGGTCTGGCCTGAAGGTGATATTGTGGCGTGGGTGGTTTCACAACGTTTACGCTGGCCCTGGGACTTGTGTAGACCTCCACAGTCTATATTCGATTTCCGAGCATCATCTCTGCAGGCAGAGCAGCTTGCCAGCGTCATCACCGCTTCCCATAGCATCCAAGTAAGGAATTAATTGTTACTGCAGATCTTTGGTTGCTTCGGACCACGCACGGGTCGAATGTTGGGATCATTTGATCTTTTATCGCGCCTATATTTGTTTTACAATGAACAAGACGTATTGCATCATTCATTATGCACGTGACGTTTTTCAAAATATCCTATTATCAGTTTCAACAGCTGTAATTTGCTATAGTCTAGATAAATATAGCCAAGGTGGGATGAACAATAAGCATACGTTCTATATATGAATTTGCTATAAAATAGAATAGGTCATTAAAATCAGAACGCGCGGACAGAAAAGTCAGACCAAGTGGTTAAGGATTGGATGCTGCAGATATAATTCTCACGCCGTCTGTAGTAATTAAGTAACCAAAGTATTCAATAAAACGTTTGCAAAACGGAACACTCATTTAAAAAAATAAATGTGAAAACATAAGTCGTTGTAATTTATGCAATGAAACGCTAGAGAAATGACAACAACATTTGGCTAACGACGTTATACTACCACACAGAACGTCATTAATAACATGTTGGGCATAACACTGTTCCGCTAGAATAGTAAGACGCCTGAAATGCGAATACGGTGTTGAAATAAGGACGCTATATCACCGCCCGCTGAGAATATATATAACAAATTGGACCTAGGAATAGCCCGAGAAGTGCTGAAATGTTGGACTTTGCATCTAGAAAAGCTTCATATACAAAATTAAGCAGTTGTGGGACACACTTAAACCTCTT